GACATTCTTAGTCGAGTTGAATTAAGTCTCTGGCTCTTACTGCATCCATCTTGCCCACTGTGAAGAGCCTCCCCTCTAGTACATTTAGGTCTGGAAGGAGTGTCCTGCTGCCTACTCTGGGGACCCGGGATGGGGGTGTTGGGCACCATGATTCGGGAAGACAGAGCCTCTGAAAACAGAGTTGCCTCACATCTTCGTCTTGTCTTGACTTACGTTCCTGACAGACACAAGCTGGATGTGGTCTCCTGTGGTAAGTCCACAGTCAGAGTGCAGAAAGCCATCTGCAGTGGATTCTTTCGAAACGCTGCCAAGAAAGACCCGCAGGAGGGTTACCGGACCCTGATCGACCAGCAGGTGGTCTACATCCATCCTTCCAGTGCTCTCTTCAACAGACAGCCGGAATGGTAGGTGGGCAGGCCCCGGGTCTGGGGCTTTTTGGGCGGAGAGGACCTCTAACTCTACTGGCACTTTGTGTCTGTCTTCACCCACTGCCAGCACTTCCTATTCTAACATTGCTTATATTTCTAGGGCAGCAAGGGCCTGAATTAGGCACAATATCAGGCCCTTTTCCGAGGAATAAAATCATAGGAGTGAGAGCTGGAAAGGATCTTAGAGATCACTTATTGAGGTGGTCAAAAAAATAATTTTTTTTTAAGTAGCATTTAAAAAATATTATAATCTTACCCACCCTAATATAAAACTGATTTAAAACCACAGTGCCACCATGGTAGAAGGGTTGGAGATGTAGAGTCTTGCCTGTTTGGCTTTCCCCATTCCCTTTTAGCAGCCTCTGAAGTTCCTCTTCAGGGCCCTAGAGTTCTGTGGAGACAGCCTGAAAACCCACCCTCCCGTTTCACAGACCAGGAAACTGAGGTCCAGAGAAGTGATGTGATTGTCTCTGTGTCACTTAACTAGCTGGAGCCAGAGTCAGGTCTAGAACACATTATCCTGACAGCTTTCTTGTGGTTAGAGGTGTGCAGGCCCCTCCTTATTGGAGCGTGGTTGTCTTAGAGACTCAGTCTCCTGCGGGGTCAGGCAGAAGAGGAAAGGGTAAAATGCAAGCTTAGCTGCAGCCCACCCGGGACCTGGGTGACTGTGGAGCTGGGCCTATATCGGAGGTTTGAGCTTGTGTCTGTCCCCTCTAGGGTGGTGTACCACGAGCTGGTGCTGACCACGAAGGAGTACATGCGTGAAGTCACCACCATCGACCCCCGGTGGCTTGTGGAGTTTGCTCCGGCCTTCTTCAAAGTCTCCGACCCGACTAAGCTAAGCAAACAGAAGAAGCAGCAGCGTCTTGAACCCTTGTACAACCGTTATGAGGAGCCCAATGCCTGGAGAATATCCCGGGCCTTCAGGCGGCGCTGAAAGGCAAGACTTGTCTGTTTGCGTCTCCTGCAGCACTGGCCTAGGGCTTGGACTCACTCTTACTGGTGAAAAGCTGGTTCTAAGGATACAGCTATCCTGTGACTGAATACCTTAACTGGACATTTTCTAACCTTGACTCGCATTTCTTGCCTGGTGGTAAAAATAGAAACAGGAATTTATGCCTGGCTTGACCAGAGCCTGCAGCCCCCACCACCCCAAGTCACTGGGGCCAGCTGGGATTCACAGCCAATACGGAGGTATGCTGTAGCATCTCCAAGAAAGGGGCAACTTGTGCAGCCCTGGGATGGGAAAGGGCCGTCCTGAGCATTGGACACCTGGACAGACGGACGAGGTGAGGGCCCTTGTGCCCTAGCTGGTGCTCTGTGGAGGAGGAGGCCACAGAGCTCATTGAAAGTGTTGCCTCCACTTCCCGCTCCTGTCCTGCCCCTGTACTTGCACTTAACCTCCCGGAAATCTTTATTTTCTTAAGGAAACAAAAATGGTTTTCTGTGAAGGTTTCTTTCAGCTGAAAGGTTAGGATATTGGCTTGGGCTCAGGGTGGGGAGATTTAGTGTCTGTGACTCCGGTGCACATGGCGGAGAGTCCCCTGAAGCCAGAGCCCCGGGCCTCTTTGGGCTGAGAGGTGCCGCACAGCCCAGACCTGTGTCTCATCTCTCAGCACCCACGCCAGCCCAGCTCGGCCATAGATAGCCAGCACACCGATTCAGTGCACAGGCGCTCAGGTCTGGGCGCCTGAGTGCTTACAGATGCCACATACTGAATGCAGAAGGCTGCCCCTGGCTCCCGTTCCGGCCCACCACATCATGTACAGCGTGTCCTATTTTTCTTTTGAAACTTGCAAGTAACGGCATAGGTTTTGTTTTAGTTTGTTTTTTCTCTTTTTTTTTCCCCTGAGGTTCTTGATGGACTTTTAACAAAGGGTTTTTATGGTCAAAGCCTCCCCTCCCCCGCCCCTAACAGAAAACCAACACAACACCTCTCAGAGCCAGTTTGTGCTGTCCAGCATCTGTGCTCCGTGCCTCCCTCATGCTGAGTGGTTGTCTCCTAGCATTCTGTTGGGGAATGGCCACCTCTTAGTGCTCCTCTCAACAGTTTCTGAGGAGGCTCTTGGCTTGGAAGAACACCAGACAAATGCCGCCAGGCCAGGTTGTGGAACTTCTAGAAAACTGTTCCGGATGTGGAGCTTGTAGAGAAGCCCCTGGGGGATTGGGCACATTGTATGTTATAGCCCCCACTACCTCCCCCACCCCCATTCTAGTAAGTTTTGAAACAATGTAAATATTAGAACTACCATAGATTTACATACCAGAAACTAAGAGAGACCTTGTGACATTCTAGGATATGAAGGAATATAGGCTGTTTACTGGGCAGCAGACATTACACCCTAAAGACACAATTCAGAGAAGCCAGCGGAGAAGAATACAGGCCAGGGAGTCTGCTGACTGAGGTCCCTGCCCCTTGATTGAGCTGAGTGTGCGCCTTTGGTTCTGTTGGAGTGTGCTCCTCAGGAAGCCCAGGCCTGTAATTAAGGGCAGGGGATCTGTGTGCTAACCTTTAAGGACTTAGGGGAGAGACAGTGTAGGGGCTGACGGGAAACCGAAAGGGCAGCAGGGGCCTGGCACCCAGCTCCCCAACTTTAATTCCAGCCCAGGTCTCTCCAGTTCAGGAATAAACTCTGGGCTTGGCAGCCCGCCCGACCCAGCTGAGTGACCAGCACTGACGTCGTTGGCACCTCTGAGATCATAACCCCTGAGGATGGAGTTTGGGGATTTAAGCTGAGGTTGAGAAGGGGATGTTTAATAGGCCACGGCGAGAGAGACAGCAGGGCTGGTCCTCTTTCTGGGTTAGGTGCGCAAAAAGGACGCCAGCTCTGTGGGTGTTCCTTGAACATCTCCCCCAGGAGCTGGGGTCACTTCTCTGCTATCACAACATGGCTGGGGTCTGACCTTCTAACTGTCCATCAGGAAACAGCATAGCCCAGCCTGCTCAGAAGGGGGCTTCCAGCCAGATTTGAGAGGACTCGCCTGCTGCTCCCACACAATGGGGCCCTTGTTTCTCTTCCTTGAACCAATATTACCCGAGATTGAGTGACAGCCCAGGAGAGGATGTGGGTCTCATGCAGGGAGCTGGAATCTTCTCGGCCATTAAAGTCTACTGTTCACTGCTCCCCTGCGGGAGCCTCGCTCAAAAGTTTCCTGCCCCTGCACATGTGCTGAGCCTGTGCTTGTTTGTGTATGTGGGGGGACCGTCCCCATGGGGCATATGTAAGCTCTACTGCTGGGTCAGGCTCTTCAGTCCCGGGTTCACCTTCTTCCAGTCTGGAGCATGGTTTGGTTTTGGCTCTCTCTTTCAGCCCAAAGAATTTCCTCCCGTGGTTGCTGTAGCTGTCTCCTCTGAGCAATACCCTTACAAGTTTAAGGCTTTGAACGGGGAGCTGTGAGGAGTGGCTGGTTGATATACATTTCAGAGGGCAGAGGTCCTGTGTCTCAGCCAGTGGAGACCTTGATCACGATGCTGCTTCTCATCCAAATCGGTGTCTTGTGTGCGTACTCAGGACCTGTTTGTACTCAACTTTTACACCTTCTTCCCATGATAGCTAGCTAGCCATTAATGTGGAATTAAATCATATATATTTTTAAAAACCTAAAAAATTTTTTTCCTTGCTCTAAATTGTAAGTCAGTACATTGATGTCTTCTGTTTCTAGGAAAATTTTTATTTTTGCTTTTTATTCGCAGATAGTGGTTGAGAGGCATCTCTTCCCGAGAGGGCCACGGGTCTTAGCATCAGTACTGGGCAGCGGCTGCGGGAGGAAATGGGGCAGGCATTAAGGAGGGTTGGGCGACCCAGCCTCAGCATGGCCGTGGTTCTGATTTAATTGGAGAGCGCCTAGGGCTGGGTCTACAACTGTTCCTTCTGCCCTCTTACATCCCCAGCTACCCGCCATACTTGCTCAGCCACCCTCTCTCTAGGTGTCACTTTTTTAGCCTCGTCTTTCCTGCCTAACTTAGCCCCAGGGTCTGGTCTCCCCCGCTGATTTAGGCAAGGAGAATCTACACTGTTCCCCACTCCCCTTTCCCCTGAAGATCTAGTGTTCTTTTCCTAAACTGGCCAGAACCCAGGGCTTGCTCCAGGCTCTCCCTACACCCTCTTGCCTGGGTGCCTTTCTTTTCCCGTTCTCCAGATCCTTCACAAACTTTTGTCTCCAACTTCAGCAGAAACAGGAACCTCGAACCACGGCAGGAGAGGGGACACACAGTTGGGGTACCGTGGTTCATGGAAACAACTGTGATCACAGAAACCACAGCCCAACCCTGCTTGAACACGTCCCAGAAGGCCTCCAAGCCCCGTAGGGAGATGGCCAAGGGGCATGGGGCCAGATTACAAAGTACCCCATGTCCATTAATTCAGGATCCTCATAACAATCCTGGGAGGGGGAAAGCAGGTATCAGCCCATGAGCTCATTTCTCAGAGGGAAAAGAGGTAAACTCTTTTCCCAAGCCATATGGGAAATTAAGTGTCGGGGTCAGGCCCCAAACTAAGTTATCTGCCACAAGCCTGAGCTCTGTCCAACCCATCCTTCACCCATGGCAGCAAAGAAGACACGAGAACTTAACAGAAGAAGCAGGGGCTTTTATTAGGGTCTGGCAGACATGGTGGAGGTGATATCCCAGGCCTGGGCCTAGGAACAGGCAGAGCAAAGGGCCCTCGAAGCAGGAACCCAGCCCTTCCTGCCTCTACCAGCAACCTCTACCCTATCCCACATTTCTTCCTCCAGCCTCCCCCCCCACCCCCCGCCTCTGGGAACAGAGCACCAAGAACTGACAAGCAGGACCCTCCAGGGCCACAGCTTGGAGTGGAGGGCAGGATCCAGGCTTCTGTCTCCCTGCAGTGGGAGAGCTGAGCTCAATGCATCCCTCTCTCCACCAGGATAAAGTGGGGACGCTCCTTCTCTGTCCCCCAGAACAGAACAAACTCTTGTTCTCTGTGATGGGGGAGAGGGTGTGGGGGCCTGTAAGCGTGACCTAGGAAGAGGCCAGGGGTGAAACCCCTAAGAGTTTCCGAGGTTCCACCTTTGCACTTGCAGTGTCTCCACTTTTCCTTCCCATTGACTCACATGAGCAGCTCAGAGTCTGGGCAGAGCAACTGATGGGCCAGTGGGGATCTGCTCCAAAGACATCTGCGGGTTTCAGAGTGAGGGTTTCCCCAACACCAAATTCCTCTATATATACACAGGGCAGCACCCCGGCGGCAAGGGAGCAGCTGCTAGGGGCTAGTAGGAGTAGCCACCCTTGGGGCCAAAGGGTTGGGCAGGGCCAGCCAGCTCTGGGAGGTAGGCCGGGCTCTCATCCAAGTGGGACAAAGGGACTGTGTCCTCCTCACTGACTGGCCGGTCAAACTCGGCCTTAAGAGCTGGACGCTGATTGTCCGGGAAGGCCAGAGAGAAGAGGGCCTCAGGCTCACACACAAACTTGTACACGTAACGTTCGCCAGCCACCTATGGGAAGAGAGAGGGACTGGGTCAGCCTAGCTCTCCCTGCAGGTCGTTGTAGAGGTGGGGAACACAGCCCTTGTCTGGGTCCAGGCAGATGTGTGGGGTCCAGTTCTCTCCCGTGCTGGCTCCGCTAAGCAGCCGACTCCCTTTCCAGTTCTTGTTCACCTCCAATCTCACTCTCTCCATACTTGCGGCTTCTCAATTACTGTTGAGCACTTTTTGAGGAGAGGGAAACCTCAGGATTGTCCACAATTTCTTATCCCTTCTGACTGGTTCATTATCTGCTCCTATAGAACTCGCTGAAAATGCTCTCCTGCTCCCTGCCCCCGTTACCTTCCCACAGCCTCTGCCGCCCCCCACCCCACCCCTGTTGTCCCTGGTCCCTTTAGTCCCTGACCTTCTGCATGATGCCTTTCTCATAATAGTATCGGAGTGAGCGGCTCAGTTTGTCGTAATTCATGGCTGGCCGGTTCTTCTGGATACCCCAGAGCCTGGCGACCTGGCGGGGATAGGAGACAGTTTGGGGATAGCGATGCTAGCTCAGCAGAGGGAAAAGGGGAGAGAGAGGACAGGTCAGAAAGAGCACTTGAGATTCTTAGTGCAAAACGCTAAGCTGGTCCTGCAACTAAGCACCAGCCCCCAGACCCAGGTCTGGCAAGAATTCAGGTTAGGTAAAGCAACGATGACGGTGAGGGCACATGCCACCTGTTCCCGGGGTTCTCTCATCTCCAGCTCCAAAAGCTGTTGGGAGGAGAGGTGGGAACATCTGAGAGGCCCACCTCCTCAGGCTCAATTAGTTTGAATTCCATCCCCCGGCCGGTCCAGGCAATGAAGTGGGCATTCGTTGGGTCATCCAGCAGGGCCACCAGAAACTGCCACAACTGCAAGGCACCACGGCGCTGGTAGGGCGGTCCCTCTCGGAATGCTCCGACTCCTTCCTGCTTGATGTCGCCTGGGGAACATAGGCAACAGGAGTGTAGGGTTTGTACCTTCTGGTCCCCTAATCAATCCCATCTCCCAGGGGTCTGTCCATGCCCTTTCTCATGAAATGTCATGTGCTTCCTGGGGGGGGGGGCGCGAAACCGACAGAGGGCAGGGATAAGATCCTGACCCTCTCATGAATAGTCACTTCTCTGACCTTCAAATTTCTCAGGGACGACGCAGACATCATCTGGGAATGGTCGCATAGGTTTCTCATAGCCATAGCCTTGAGGAGGAAGGTGGGGGTCATTCAGATCTGAGGGTTCACTGATGAGACCCCAGAGGGACTCCTGGCAGAAGACCCTTTCCCACAGCAGGCCACCCTCTTCAAACTTGGAGGGCTTGGTAGGGCGGAGGGGGCTGCCTTACCAATGGTCCCGTCACCTGGAGAGGGCCCAGGGAAACCCTCTGTATGAAGGTACATTGACGCACACCCAGGGACATCTGGGGGTGGAGAAAGAAGAAAGGTTGGAGGTGGCTGGGGTAGGGGCAGGGGCGGCAGGCCTACAAACGTTTAAGAACGTCTTCCTGCCAGCCTGCGTTCTGGTTCTGTTCCCAGCTGCCTGCCTACCACCAATCCCAGGGGAAGTTCACCCAGAGGAGGTGTGAGGCTGGAACCCCTCAGTGAGGGCTGGGCCAGAGGTCAGTTATGGCAGCAGCGGGGGCTGGGCCAAGCTGTTCCACAAGGCCCAGGATTCCAGGGAGCAGCTGTTTCCTGTGAGTTTAGGGGAAGGAGGGGGAGTTGAGATGAACCTCCGGGGAAAGGATCCAGTGTCCATGTCTAAGACTCCCTTGGAATGGGCTAACCTCCGGTCTGCAGGTCAGGTTCCCTGCCCAGTTTGTATGTGAAGCAGGGTTGCGGGGAGGAGAGACTGCATGTATCTGTATCCGGGGAAGAGGCAGTGGGCACTGGGCCGTTTTTTTTACCAGGTCTGACAGCAGAGCACATTCCACTTTTGATTCCATTCCATAGGATTGAAACCTCCTCGCTCCACCTGGAGGCGGTTGTGTGAAGCTACCCATTCAAGTTCCAGCCCCTTCCCGCCCTACCCTCTACACTCCCACCTATGAATGAGATGGTGAAACCCGACACCTCAGGGAGGAGGCGAGAGGGTGGGCTCATTCATGCCTCCATTTTGTGAATGGAATTCCTGACTCCATTCAGAGGAAGCCGAAGGGGGAGGGGCAGGAGTTCAAGGGCATGTAACACGATCTCCTCCGGTCGACATCCTTTGAAGGTCGGTGGCAAGAGCGTCTCCCTTTCCTGCATCTCACTGCCAAGCACGGCTCAGGCATATGCCCACGGTTTGAGGAGAGGCGCACCCTTCTGGTTCTCACAAGGGCAGCCTGGGGGTTTGTGGCTCATCCCCCTGCCCCTAAAAGACTGGGGGCATCAGGAAAAGGGAAATTCCGGCCAGCTCTGAGCCTACCCTAATTGCTGAAGCTATTTTTCTCATGCAAGTTTGCAGATAAACTCAAATTCGGGGACAGTAACAATGTTAACAAGCCAAGGTTTTCTGGGGCCTCCCTCTACATTTGGGGCGTTGAATTACAGCTATTTATGAATATGGCTGAGTGCATTTCACTTGCGTCAGCACCAGGTGGAAGGGGAATTTATAGCAGTCCCTACTTTGGGTGTCCAGCTCCGGCCAGGATGGTGGGTCATCCATCAACCTGGAGGCTAGAACAGGTTGTGGAAACCACATATTAACCCTGAGTCCCAGTTGCCGAACTATGACAGCCTGGCTAGTTCAAGTTCATGTTTCTCTTCCTTCAATTCCCTTTGTATTTTTAAGCTTCTGTGGGGACAAGGAACAAGGATACATCCTATTGATCTTTGTATCCTCCAACTCGACACACTCCCGCTTCTGGCACAGAAGTTCTCAGTAGGTAATGAAAAGCCAAACACTTGATACATAGAAATAGAAAGAAATGCCTTAACTTTCCTATTAAGTTACATACATGCTACCTGAGGGCATGGACCTACATCACGTTTATCTTTTATTTGAATATAAGTTTGCTGATAGAAAAAAAAAAAGACAATTCTTTTGAATCTATGGAAAAAGTGAATGGACGAATGGATTGGATGTATGAACTAGTAAACAGATAGGGAGGTAAAAATCTTGTGGGAGGGCCTTCTGGGGTCCATCCCACACCACTCCACCAGCCACTCCACCCAAACTCCCTCACCCCCCAGCATCTCTTACCTGAGTCATAGGCGAAGTCAGTCTGCTCCTGTTTGATCACCACCCCCGCCCCTGGGTACCTGTGCCCGTTGACCCCACCCTGGCCCACGGCCAGCTGTTCATACAGGGGGTCAAGATATTCCTGCTTGAAGCTCTGCTGGGGGTAGGGTGGGCAGGGCTCCGACAGCTGGTGTTGGTAGGGGGCTGGGAGGGGTTCCCGGCCCCCTCCCTGAGAGGACGTGAAGGAGTGACAAATATCCAAGGGCTGCTGGAAGACAGAGCTGGATGTGGTTGGATGGAGAAGAGGAGAGAATATTAGGTTAAGCGCTCCTGTGCCTACCACTCCCAGAGCTTGCAGAGTAGGCTCTAGTGTGTGTTATGTCAATATCCCTTCCCCCTACATCCCCCACCCCAGGTCTCTAAGGGCAGGTGGACAGTACTCTGGGATTGAGGAAAAACTGCTGAGATTTGGGCCTACAGGTTGGGGGAGGGGGTGTGTGTCTCCTTGTCTCCTTACCTATGCTCCCCGAGGTACCCATGGCCAGGGTGGGGCTGAGAGGTGCCGGAGGATCTCAGGAAACTCCGTTGTTCTGCCCGGGGAAAGGGCTGCAGGGGCGACTGTCCGGGGGCACCAGGGGCAGGGGACTTGATGGCGATTTGTCTAGGGGGGTCATAGGCACTGGAGTTGAGGGGGGAGACAGGGATAAGGGGGCAGAAAAGCGGGGCGAGCATCTTTGAACCCTTCATCCATCCCAAGGGAAGGGAGGGCACAGGGATTATGGGAGAAGGAAGAGGAGAGGATTCCAGGAAAGGAATGGCATGAGCCAGACTCAGCCCCAAATGAACTTTTTCTCCTTTCATAAATGCTAAAACTGGGTGTAATCTTGAGAATGCCTCTACCCAGCCCAGAGCCACTGGGTTGGGTGGGAGAGTGGTTTCTTCGGTGGAAACAGACTCTGCCTCGGCCTTAACACACACCCCTTGAATCCCCTGCTGTGTTTTCCATCCTGACTACTCAGAGGAAATCCTGAGCTGTACTGTTCCCTTGCAGGAGCTTGGAAATCCTTTCTGTTGTCTAACTTGCATCTCAGCTGTTGCCTCTGCTCACAGGTGCCTCACCCCCTCCTCCAGCTACCCCTCACCAGGGCTCACCTGGAATAAAGGCACTGCTCGCCATGGTGGTAGGGGAGTGGCGGCTTCCTGCTGCAGGACAGGGCCGGGTCTGTGCGCGGACTCTGGGGTTCCTTCTTGATCCTGGTGGTGGGGCTGTGGAAAGCTACTGTGGGGGCGGGAGGAGGCAGAGCAGGGCCACAGAGTGTCACAGAGGAGGCAGTAAGAACTTCTGCACCGTCTGCTCTCTGAGGACCAGCTGGGGTCACCGGTACAGCCTCATCCCCTCTCTGGATCTCCGTTTTCAGAGATTTGTAGTCAGACACTTTTAAGAACAGTTTGGCTATTGACATTATGTCTGGTTTTATACATCAGGCTAATGTCCAATATTAACCAAAGAAACGGTCTAAAGTTGAACATGTAATGCAACCCCAACCCCCCAGAAACACCTTTGGAGGAGTAAGCACCTCTATAATTTAGGGCCTGTGGTTTTCCTGAGTGTCCTGGAAAATTCCAAGGAAGAGAAATGTTTTCTTATTTGGGACTATAAAGAATCTTTCTTTTTCTGGCTAAGGTTGGACATTAGCCCACTTGCTAGTCAGCTGACTAACATTATACACATGCTCCTAATTATCTGTGAAGAACACTGGCCTTTCCTGTGGCCCCTGCTGGGTCCAAAAACTCCAGCCACTAGGCTGAGCAGCAAAGAGTTGGTTCCAAGTCGGTGAGTGTGAGATTCTCTTACTGCAGTCAAAGGCCTGCAATCCACCATTCTGATGTCTGCTGTTTTCGATTATTTGTGTCCTGCGTCATTTCACTGGTGAAGACAGTTGAGAGCAAAGTATCTGACATTAAAGCAGGGCATCTCAACAGCAGCACTATTGACATTTGGGCCAGATAATTTTTTGTGGTGGTGGGGGGAGGCTGTTCTGAGCATTGTCAGGGTGTTTAGCAGCATCCTTAGATACTAGATAGCATTCACCTTCAGCTGTGGCAACCAAAAATGTCTACAGACATTGCCACATGTATCCTGGGGGGCAAAATAGCCCCCAAATTGCACGAAAGTAACAAAATGGTAGAACTGTACTCTGCTGAACTTGTCCATACCCTTCGTTACAGAAATGAGGAAATGGAGGATCAGAGGTGAAGTGTCTGTTCCAAGGTCACACAGCTAGGATGGAGCAAGCCCTGATTTGAACCAAAGTTTTCATCTCCCAGTTACTGTCTTGGTCTTTGAGTCCAAACCCAAGAATGGGGAGCCCTGCCCTTCACCCTTTTCTTTAGGAGAGAACAAGTTAATCTTTTGTGGTTCTCTATCCCTATGACTCATTTCCTGCCCTCCCTCACTCCCCATTCCCTCTACCCAGGGCCCTCTACTCACAGTTTTCTGAATGGAAATCAGGAACAAACTGCTCATCACTATCTGGTACCTGAGCTGCAGAGAGAGGTCAGAGGTGAGTCTGGGGTGGGGGCCCTGGACGGTAGCCCCAGGGAGACACCATTATTGTAGCCCTGCAGACTGGCACCCGCCAGAAAAGAGAAAAGAGCCTTCCTAGGACTGAAGGCAACTCCACCCCAGGTCCTAGTGCCCGCCATCTCTGGGCTCCATTAAGACCCTGGAGGGAAGGCTGCAAGTTCCCGGAACCTGTCTGAGCAGATTCCAGAGCCTTTTCCTAGATGCTTTGTCTTTATTCCCTCCATTTTTCTGAAGTGAAGACAGCCCTGCCCCTCAGAGTTTACAAAGGTCTCTCAAAGCTCACAGCAGAGTCATATCTGGGATGGGGTAGGCATTAAAAGGCATGAGATCCCGTGGACTTAGAATCATGTGGGAGATTCTGAACCTGGGCTGAGCCCAGCAATCTTCCTTCTATACAACCTCTGGGGTGAAATCTAGAGTCTGGGAAAGGAGATGGAATGGAGGAAACAGGGTGGTTCAAAAGAGGATGACAATGGGCGAGGAGGCTGGAGATGCTGGCAGGTCAAGCGCCTGATCCCTTCGATGTGCAGCTTGGAGAGAGGAGGGCTTCCCAAGCATGGAGGTCTGAGGTGCACTCCCAGGGTGCCAGTGTGGGTGAAGCTGGGTTTAGGGATTAGGCAGCAAAACTAAAATAGAACAGCAGCTCATCCATAGCCTCCAGCCTGAATCTCTCCGGGCTTTGATTTCCAGTTCTTGTCATGGCCTCACCAACGCCTTCAGGTGGGTATACAGCGGAGTACCTCCCCTGACCCCAGAGATTTTGGCTCACTTTTGCCCCTCTCTCAAGAATAAAGAGATCACAGCAGGAAGGGGGAGGGTAGATACCAAGGAGACTGGTCTCTTGTTCCCTGGAGACAGCTCTCAGATTGGACAATGGGGAAGCTGATGGATAAAATGATCCCGGGTTGGGAATGGCTGTCTGGTAAGGGTGAGGGATCTGAGGACACGGCTGGAGAACACCCCTACTCGTCCTGGCCTGTACAAGTACACACCCCACTCTCTACTGCCTCGCTCCTGGACAAGGGTTCCATAGTTTCCTCCTTGGATTTCAGCCACACAGCCTCTGGTCAGAACTCCCTACTTCTCTTACTTCCTACAGTCAGTTGTTCTCCACACTGCTGTCAGAGTAATCTTTTTATAACAGAAGTCAGAATCCCTTCTTCCCCTTGCTTAAAGCATGAACCCCAAACTCCTCCCCTCAGCCTCCAAGGCCCTGCTAACTTCTCTGATCTGTCTCTCCTTGCCTTTTACTCTCTAGCGCTCTGGTCTCCTTTTGGGTCCTCAAAGCTGAGCAGCTTGATCTCGCTTCCCTAGATAACTTTGCCTGCCTGCCTTTTTTTCTGGCCACTTAAGTCTTAGCTAACTTTGTGACCTCCTCAGAGGCCTTCTCTAACCACCCAAACCAAAGGGGTCCCTCCCAGCCCTCTCTCGCATCTCCGTTTTATTATTTTTTTCCCCCCCCAGCACTTAGGGCTACCTGAACTTACTAACTTAACCTTTACATGTCTATTGTAAATAGACATGCTGAGGGCAGGGGCTTTATCTGTCTTGTTCATCTAATTCAGCCCCCCCCCCCCAACAGGGTCTGGCTCAGAATAAACACTCAACGCATTACTTGTTGGCTCTGTGAATACACAAACGATGACCCCTGTCCTCAGACTTGTGGGAGCCAGCATGGTGGGCCTGAGGGCAAGAAGTGAAGCGATCCTGACCAGCCAGCTCTTCCCTCACCCTGAAGGCACCCCCTCCCTCTCCACCACCAGGTAAAATTAGAGGCAGGTCCTCTGGGGGAAACCCATCTCACAAGGGATACTTCAGGCTGTGGTAGGAAGATTCTCCATCAACTTGCTCTAAGTATCAGAGGTCCCAAGTGTCCTAAAATACACGGTTATAGATAGTTGACTTCTTGACAGAGGGACTGGTTGGAGGGGGTTAAGAATCAAAAGCCACCAGCAGCTAAAGAAGAACTTACGAAACGTCAGCATAAAACAATTCTAAAATGATCAAATAAATCAGTAGGACATGAAATCTCTTGGCCAAAACAAACAAAAACACACAGGCAGCACACATTTTTCTCGGGAGCACCACTAGGGCACATAGGCAACCATTCCCAACCTGACCTGAGTCAAGAATTTGGAGGTACTGTTAAAAATATGGACTCCCAGACAACCGCCTCCCCAGAGTCATTGCATAGGCCACCGGTGGGGCCCAGGCATTTTTAGCAAGTGCCTCTGGTGGCCCTTAACAATAGGCAGGTTTGGGAAACACTAGATAAAGGGAGGGTCACAAAACCTGCTCACTGCCCAGAGAAGCAAGGCCCAAGCTCATCCTTGCTGGCTCAGATGGCGGACAGGGGTGATGGGAGCAGGATGAACATTTTTCTCCCTGCTACTGAGGCAAGGAGGGTTCCAAGAGCGGGGTGGGGGTGGGGGTGGGTGGGGGTGCGTGCAGATCATGGGGGAGGCTGAGGCACGCTGGGCCCCCTCTGGGGCTTCATTAACTGCAGCTTTCCACTGAGGTAATGGGCTGAGGGCATCTCCTATTGGCGTCACAGGCCAGTTCGCATGACGCTAGAGAGCCCTAGGGGCCATCTTGCCATTCCTCCAGCCTCAGGCCCAAAGGTTTAACCAGACACTCCCCCCTGCCAGCAGGCCCAGAGGAGGCTGCCCCCAGCACACACACCACACCCCAGAAGAGGTGGTGCCTCCCCTTCCTGAGCCAGGAGAAATCAGAGGAGGCAAAAATGGGCTGTGGTGTGAACCCCAGTCCCTGGTTGGTCCTTCCCCAGAACACTGGCTTCTCCGAAAGGGGGCAGACAGGGCCTCAGTCCCTCAGAGAATGTTAACAAAGATAGAAATAGGAACAGGAACACTGCCTCACGTTCCTGGAGAGCAGGCACATTTCTGATGACCATGTTTGGTCTTGAGTGTACACCACTCTCTTTATTTGTTGACTTGGCTGAGGTTTGGCTGCTAAGCCTGTGTGCCAGGGTCTTCCCCCAGCTCCATCCTGGCACTAAGGTCGAGTTTATCTGCCTGGGGACATGGCAGGTGACTAAGGAGGGATGGGAAGTGCCAAGCCAGCATAATACCCAAAGAGAGAATTGTAGGAAACGTCCCTCCAACAGGAGGAGGGGCTTGGGGGGGGCCTCTCAAGCTGGGCTTCAGAAGAACGGGGAGGTTAAACCAGCCAAGCAGCTAAACCCACCTCAGATTAGCCACCCATCTATACCATGTAGGCCCTATAACCTTCTCCCCTTCCTAGGGTCCAATCACAGGGGCCTCTTAAGGAGTCCCAGTGGAGAGGTGGGGAGATAAATTCTTCGGAGCTTCTGCTCCCTTGTGTCACCACTGGCCTCAGCTCTCACCCTTACCCTGACCCCCCACTCTGGCAGCCTCTGTACTGGAAGGAACTGGTTCTCTATCTGTGGAGGGGACAGAAAGATGTAGGAGGCATTGTAGCTAAGAAAGGCTGGGGGAGGGGATTAACCCCGTCTCTCCCCACAGACATGCTGAGGCACCGATGTGCATACACACGATGCACACACACCCTAATTCCTTTTACTTCACAGCAGCACACGAGTGAAACACATCCTCCAGGCACACCCTTCACACACGGGGTCTCCTTCTGGACTTACTAAGATGATGGGGGAAATCGAAGGGCCAGGGGACTGGAGACCTCGGTGGATTGGGGAGTCGTGGCTCTTATGAAAAGGGGAGCACAGACCCACTCCTTTGAGAATCTCATAAAAGTTATGGCTCATTCTCTTCCTAGAAAATTCATATTCCTTTGTGCATGGTACACTTCCGAAATTTTACACAACGTCAGAGGGCTCAAGAACCGCTGCAACCTATCTGCAGAGCTTTTGAGACTCCCCAGACTCCAGCCTCACACAAAGGACACACATGGCCCAGAAGCAATGTTCCTTACTACCAAATAGACCAAAGTCATTGTCCCTGAGGGTTCCGACACGCCAGGAATGGAACCCCAGACCAGAAGCAGCACATCTTTTACCACAACCAGGCACAGCTTGGGTTTAGCCTGCCTGAGCCTAGGTTTCCCTACAGCAGCCTGATCCTTTCTCCAGCAACTCAACAGATCCTAGGCACCCCCAAACCAGACACACCCTCTTAGCCTCACTTCATCCCCCCAACGCTCTGTCTAGAAAAACGCCAACCCCTAAGATGTCTGAGCTGTCTCTACAGAGTCCCACTCACACTCATCCTCAATGATGCCCAGACACTGGACTCTGAACCCACAGCCACATCGGCCGGATCTAATCTGGGCATCCCCCGAATTCTTCACAGTCCCACCCACGCTACAAGGACCTGCTTCTCTCCAGACTGGGGATTTAGGAAGAAATCAAGCTGAGAGAGGGCAGTTGGTCTCTGGTTCCCATCCCTACTGACGCGTATCCCACCACTGGCAAATTTCCAAAGGAGCTAGCCCCTCCCTGCCACCCCAAAGCTCCCCCTAGGCTGCAGGGGTCACTGACCTGGTGGGAAGAGGCAGGAGAGGAGGCTGGGGTGGTGCTGGGATGGTGCAGGGGGACAGGGCCCCGGCAGCTGCATCTGTCTCCGCAGAGAGAGTGAGAAGGAGCGAGTGGCCTCAGCATCCCCCCCTCAGGCCTGGCCATCCATCGCCAGCTGGGAACCTGAGCTGCTCCCTCAGAAGGAAGGAGAGGGAACCAAGGAGATCCCAGCGCCCCCCCACACACACTCCGCCTTTCAATCCCCACCCCCCACCTCCCCACCCACTGGATTTAAATGTACAGACTCCCAGGGCAGCAGCATGAAACATACACACACATACACACTCACTGTCACAATGACACACAGATAGACACCAGTACAATCTCTAGACCCCCCACCGCCAAGGGGTGGGGCTTCCAAGGTTGAGAGGAAATGAGGCCGTTTTCCTCCCCTTCCCATTCCTAACCCAGGCACAAATGGACCAGCTGCTGCCAAAATGCCAACCTCTGAGCACACCCCTAGATCACAGCCCTGGGAGCTAGCTGCCCACTGTGGGGAGCCCAGGGACCCTCAGTTGACAGACAAGGAGCCTGGCAAGCCAGACAGAAATCAGGCATTGGGAAAGGAAATCTTTGAGAGACCGTGGAAACTGACACCTCTGCGTTCTTCAGCTCCAGCCCAGCTCCGGAACCTCAGGAGGATGGGCAGACTGGGCACAGCTCTGCCTGTAACTCAGAGCAAGGCACTCAGGGTTGCAGAATCGGAAAGATGTGTGCAATACCCCCAGAACCCCCAAAATCCCTCTAGCACTCATGCTGCCGGTCAGCCATGAAATCCGCAAAATATCTGGAGCACTTGCTCAATGCTAAATAGTCATTCTGTTCATATCTATATGTATATATCTCACAGTGGTCAAGAGAGATCTAGTCTCACTCCAAAGATCTAGTCAGGGGTCTTTCCCTTCAACCCCAATCTTTTATAGAAGGTTCCAGAGGAGCTGGGTTGGAGTTTAAAAAAATCACCAAGGATACTCAGATGATAACTGGGGAGATCCTAAGGAAGAGAAAAGCCTTCATAAAGATGTTGCTAGGCTAGTGTTGTGGTTTCTTGTTTTTCAGAGTGTTAAAGGGACCCTAAGATGGGGGTGTTAACCCTTCCCTCTCAGAGATTGTCTAAACACCATTTGTCTTCTACCTACAGCCCCACCAGCGACACCCTCAGGCTCCACCAAAACACACCAATGAATCCAACCAGAAGACCCCCCCCCCAGAACACACTTCTCCACGGAGCCAAGGCCGAGCTACTGACCCCACCCCAGCCAGCTTGCAGCTACAGCTAACCTCACGCAAACAAGAGGGGGAATATGCCTGGGGTGGAGGAATTCAGGAGGAAAGGAGGGATCAGTTCCATCAGAATTACAATCAAGACTATTGGGGTGTAGGGGGGGCCCTAAACGCTCTTTGCCACAGAGCTGCAAAAAAGAATTAATTAAACTTTTGTTGTTTTTTTGGCTCAGACAGTAAACTGTTTGGCATTGGGAGTTGGGAAGAGAAACCAACGGGGTATAAATCAATGTTTTGGCAACTCTTGAAGATAGGTAACAAATTAATTGCTTTCTCCTCATCCTCCTGTTCCTCACCACCACCACCCCCCATACACCCCAACATACACCTCCGCCTGGTGGCTGCTGCCAAACAAACTTTGCAAATGAAAATTTCAACCAGGAAAACGGGCCTGGGGCCAAGTTCCATTCAAATAAGCAAATACCCCACACAATGGTCTGATTCATCCCCAGGCCTAGTTACACAAGCCTGGCTCAGGGCAGAGAAAATAAATATCAATATAAGTGTCCACGCTGGGCGCTGAGGAGAGGAGAGAGGCAGGGACTTGGGGAGGGGCCCTTGGAGAGCTTCTTGGGGCCTGGGAGAGAGGAAGTGGGCTAGATTGGAATGCTGGAGTAGAGAGCACCCCCACCTCAATAGAAAAGGTCACAAAACTACTCACCTTCAGCGAGCCACGTCTCCTGGAAGTGACTTAGATCCTGGAAGAGATCTGAGGGGTGAATAATGGCATTGGAGAAGGTGAGGTGGACGTGATGATGAGAGAGAGCCCCAGCGAGCCCGGTGACTCCCCCTCCCCTTGGGGGGTAGGGGCCGAGAATCATCAGAGCCCCTGAGAAGGCGAATCTTTCTGGGAAAAGGGAGGGGGCTCCAGGATCGGCCCTCGGGTTGTGTGTGGATCGCGGTTTGTCTCTCCGGCTCTTTACCTTCGGAGTCGGGGGGCGGCAGGGAGCCGGGGTCCATGAGCTTCCCCTGCGGGACCATCAGCGCTTCGCGCAAGTTCCCATTTCCGGGCGATTTCTGCGGGGATCGGGAAGAATGCCCGGAGTTACTCTGAGGCCGGCTGGTCTGGAGGGGTGGGATTCAGGTCCCGGGGTGACTCGGGCCGGGCAACCCTGGACCCCACGGGGGCCGCGGGAAAGGGGCCGCGGGGCGGGTAGGAACGGGGGTGCAGGGCGGGGGCGGGCGTGGAGGCCGGCGCGGCGCTCACGCTGCAGAAGGTGTAGGGCACTTGCTGGTCCAAGTAT